TTCAGATGATTAACATGAAATAAAACAAGAAGATGGTTTGTGTAAAGGAAAAAACAAGAGTTTAAATTAAAAATGTAACAACATTTTACCCTGCTATTTTTTATTTTTGGTCTTTTTCATTTTTATCGGTACTAGGGGTCGAACTCACAACCGCCTGCTTGCAAGGGCAGGTACTTATGCTGCTGAGCTAAATCCTCAGCCCCCAACAGCATTTTACTTAAAAGTCATATTTTTAAACCACGTAAGTAGTATCTCAATAATTCCCACATTTAAGACCTGTCCATATAACCAGTAATAGTAAACGAAAATTATTTCAAAGATGTACTTTTCAACATATGTAAAGATTAATTTTTACATATAGATTTACTTCTAAGTAAATTTACTAAGTATAGATTTACTTCAGAGAAGTAATCTTTCACATATAGTACCTTTTGTTGAAAGCCATTAGCAGAAGTTTTATGTTGTTTTTCTAGCATAATATAGATATATCCTTTAAAAATATAATGCTATAATACTGTAGGATCTTTTAAAATAACACATTTTGCAACAATTTTCTATCTTAAAAGCACATAAATTTGTATAAGCTGCACAGAAGAAAATCTGGAAGTAACTGTCAAAATTATGAGTATATACAAGCTGCCAGTCCTCCACACCCATGAGTTTTGCAATTGTAGATTTCACCAACCATGGATAGCACTTACACTGAAGTAGGTATTACAAGTAATCTGGAGATGCTTTAAAGTATAAATGAGGATATGTGTAAGTTAAATGCAAATGCTACACCATTTAGAAAAAACTTGGAGGATACACAGATTTTAGTATATGCAGAAAGTACATGAACCAGTTTCATAAGGATACTAAGGGACAACTGTAATTTTTAAAAATTAGTTTCTCATACAATAAAATGCATACAAAATAAAACTCACCATTGTATCTATGTAAGTATATATTCAATGGCACTGAACAATTATGTTTTGAAACCATCACCACCAGCCATCTCTATAACAGCTTTCATATTGTAAAACTAAAATTCTCTTTTTTCCAATCACCATTCTAATTTGTCTATGATTTTGACTACTGTAAGTTCTTCATAGAAATGAAACTATATAGTATTTTTCTTTTTGTGAATGGCTTATTTGACTTAGCATAATAACTCCAGGTTAATCTGTGCTACATCATGTGTCAGAATTCCCTTCCTTTTAAAGGCTAAATAATGTTCCACTGTATATATATAATTTATTATTTATTATTCATCTATCAATGGATAGATACTTGGTTTGCTTTAAAATTTCAATGAATGTTTCCATGAACGTGGGTACACAAATTATTTCTACCAGATCCTGTTTTCTATTCTTTTGGCCATATACCCAGGATTGGAATTATTGCTTTTTATGATTTGAATATGGTTTAGTGCTACCAAAAACTCAGGTTGAAATTTGATTGCCATTGTAACAGTGTTGGGTGGCAAGTGTAACAGAGGTATCTGAATCATGAGTAGATTAACATCTTCTCTTCAAACTGGGTTCTTGCCCTCTCAGGTCTAAATTAATTCTATCTCTTCCACCATCCTCTGTAAGCCAGGTGAAATAACAGTGGCTTTTATCAAATGTAGTCACTTTTAGACTGTGCAGCATCCAGAATAAGCAAATCAAACTTTTTTAATAATGTACCCAGCCGCAGATGTTCTACAACAACAGAAAATGTCTAAAACTCTGTATGAGATAGAAACACCATTTTAATTTTTTTGAGGAAACACCATATTGCTTCCCACTGTGGAAATACTATTTTGCACCAACAGTGCATAAAAGTTCCAACTTTTCCACGTCACTGTCAATGATTATTACTGCCTTTTGTCATAATGGTAATAATAGGTGTGAAGTGGTATCTCTGTATAATAATGATTTGTATTTCCCTAATGATTACTGATGAACATCTCTTTATGTGCTTATTGCTACTTGTATATTTTCTTTGTAGAAAATTGCGACTTCTCTATATACTACACATGAGTATAACTTACTAGATATTTTAGTTTTAAATATTTCCTTCATTCTTGGACTGTATTTTACTGTCTCTAATTTCTTTTGATGGCCAAAATTCAAGCCAATTTATGTTTTTGGTTGCTCCCTGTGCCTCTGTTAATATATGCAAGAAATTATTGCACACATGATGATGTGAAGCTTTTGTCTTCTGCTTTCTTATAGCAATTTATAGCATTGTTGTATATTTAGGATTTTGATGCATTTTGAGTTAATTTTCGTATGTAATATTAGGTAAAGGTTCACCTTTATTTGCATTTGAATATCCAGTTTTTATGAGCATGCCTCATAAGAAAATATTCTCCATTCCCCATTAAATGCGTCTGATATCCTTGTCAAAAATCATTATTTACATGTAAGGGTTTCTAGGCTAATTACTAGGCTCAGGGTCTCCATGTCTGTCATTATGCTAGAAACCATACTGTTTTGATCACTGTAGCTTTGTAGTAAGTTTTGAAATTTTAAAATATGTGAGTTTTCCAGCTGTCTTTTGTAAAAATTAGTTAGCAATTTGGAGATCCCTTAAGATTCCATATGAACTGTAGAGCAACTTTTCTATTTCTACAAAAACATCACTGAGATTTTTTAAAGGGCTTGCATTCAACATACAAATTTCCTTAGGCAATATTAACATTTTATAAAGTTTTCCATGAATATGAGATGTATCCACTGCATTTATTTATGTTTTCTTTAATTCCTTTCACCAATGATTTATGGTTTCCATTATGAAAGTTTTTCTCTTCCTTAGTGAATTCTTTTTTACTTACAAGTTTGTTTGTTTGTTTAAAGAGCTGGGGATCAACACAAGCACTTGTATATACTAAACTATCCTATCATTCAGCTGAGCTATAAGCCCATGCTGCTGGAATCTGTATATTGAAATAAGATTTCTCTATGTTGTCAGGCCAGCCTCAAAATCCTACACTCAAGAAAATTTCCTGCTTCAGCCTCCTGAGTAGCTGGGACTACCGACATGATGTGTGATCTCACTGTAAACAGAATAGTTTTTTTTTTTTTTTTTTTTGGACCAGCGATCAAATTCATGACCTGATGTTTGCCAGGCAGGCATTTATGCCACTGAGCTAAATCCCTGGCCCACAGAATAGTTTCCTCTTTCAACTGTTCTTTGCTAGTGTTGGAAAAGCAAGTGATTTTTGTGCTGATATGTATACCACTGGTACAGTGATTTCACTTTCTAGGTCTAAAAGATTTTGAGGGAATCTTTAGGATTATTTTTATATCAAATCAAATCATCCACAGAGATCATTTCAGTTGTATGTATTTCAACTTGTATACCTTTTATTTCCTTTGCTTGCCTAACTGTTTTGGTTAAAGCTTCCAGTATTATGATGAATAGAAGTGGTGAAAGCAAGCATCCTTATTCTTAGAGGAAAAATGTTCAGTCTTTCACCATTGAGTATGATGTTTGCTGTGCATTTTTATATGTAGATTCTATTATGTTGAAGTATTTTTATTCTAAGCTTGTTCACAGTTTTTCTGTATCAGTTCAGATTATCATGCATTTTTCCTTCATTATATTAATATGGAACATTACTCTAATTGATATTCATATGAAAATTAACCTTATATTCCCACAATAAATTTCAATTAGTCATAATGTATAAGCCTGTTAATATGCTGACTTAAGGATTTTCACCAATGTTCATAGATGCACACACGAACATATTTAAATTATGTATTTGCACTAGAATATTTCTTAATAAATTTTTTATAATAGCAAAACTTAGTGAACCAACTTAAGTTTCCATCAACTAGAGATAGGTTAAATAAATTTTTAAACTGCCACACTACAAAATTGAAAGGATTTTGCCCTGGATGGGAAGCTGCAGTGGTGGGAGGCAAAAACACCTTTCTGCCTATCTTGAGGTCACCTTTCCTGCCCCTAGGCAATTTACCTGTGGTGCAAAACAAAGTCCAATGGACTTCCTGTGCATCAGTAATGCCCCTTAGGCATCACTCCAAACCTATATTAGATGTATGCCCCCACACCACGTGTTGGACAGAGAGAATGCCAGACTCAAGAGGTCATGGAGTCTCTCTCATTCTTAAAATAAAGGACACTTTTATTTCATATTTCTTATCTTTTTAGCTGCACTGAAAATTCTATCAAAAATTACTATATAGCTATTAAAAAGTTAAAACAGATAAAAGATTCATGTACTGATACAGAAATATTCCCAGTTTATAAATAATATGTGAAAACAGCAAGGTACTATTTTACCATTTAGAGACAGGGGAAAGATTTGTACATGCCTTTATGTACATAAAACTTTCAAGAATGATCCATAATAAATAACATAGATTGATGATTTCTCATAAACATAATGCAATAATTTGTGGTAGCATTCCTGATGGTAGCATTATCAGTATCAATTTGCAGAAAAAGAAAAACTATTGATAAAAGCAATAATTAGGATGAAATCTCAAAGGCACTAAGCTTCTTCAAGGTACCATACTGTGGCATTTCATTTCCATAATGTTCTTTTTTTTTTTTTTTTTTTTTTGGTAACGGGGATCAAACTCAGGATCTCATGCCTGCCAGGCAGGGACTTATGCTGCTAAGCTAAATCCCTGGTCCTCCAACATTCTTAGAGACAGAACTAAAGTGAAGCACAGATAAGCAGTTTTCAGGGGCTAGGAATGGGAACAAGCTGGGCCCAAAAAGGGATAGAGTTAGAGAATATGCATGATGATGGAACTGTTCTCTATGCTCCTTGTAATAGTTACAAGAATTTATGCAAATGATAAAATTTCTAGAATAGGGTTGAAGATTTAGCATAGCGGCACAAGTGCCTATCTGGCAAGCATAAGGTCATGAGTTCAATCCCTAGTACTCCCCCAAAAGAATAATAATAATAAGATAACATAAAACTTCTAGAATCGAATGTACAAAAGCCGATTTTACTATAAATCCCATTTAAAGACAAAAAAATCTCAGTATCAATGCTCACTTCAGGAGTACATATACTATAATATGAATGATACAGAGATGATTAAAATGGCCCACTGCAAGGATGTAACATGCAAATTTGCGGTGTGCAATTTTTTACAATGGATTAGTACTCTGCCGTTAGAGTCATTTCTAAGAAAATAGATGCATTTAAATATAACATGGCTTCCCTAATATGAGAAACTCAAAATACAAAGAAGAAAATAAGAGATAATAGAAAACTGCAACATAGATCTTTTGCAAACAGGAGAGAAACAAAAAGATTACGAGAAGAAGGTTGTGGGGGTAGGGGATAGAAAACAATGAGAAAAAAAAACTAGGGTATATATATAATATACATATTATATATGTATACCAATTCCACAAAATGTACCAGGAATGTAATCATTATGTACTGCAAACATGTTCTGATAAAAAAAATTGAAAAAAGAAATCCCAGTATCAAATGTTACAAAGAAAACAGTATTAAAAAGGAAAACACCACATCTATACACATAATTCTATAATTACTTGATGCTCTAAACTTAGATGCTGTTCCTATACTTAGTTCTGAAGTTACCAAACATTGGTATACACATCAGAATCTCCAAGAACTCTTATTCAGAAGGACTTTAGGAATTAACTTTGAACTTACGTTAAGTGCAGCAACCAAGTTGCTATCCTGAACTTTCTCCCAGGTAATGCCGAGCCATTAGTCCCAGAACACTCTTAGAACAACTGTTCTAGAGAAATAACTTACTTCTACAAAACTTTCCACAAAAGTCCACCAACTACAGCAATATAAATTTAATTATTTTCAATAATATTTAGATAATTATGGCTTTTCAAAACTAGTGAAGTGTGGATACTGCAGGGTCAAAAGGAGGATTTACATTATTCCAACATTGTGAAATAGGAGGAGAGATAAAGTTAAACTGTGCTTTTCAAATATAGCCTCTTATCTCCCATTCCTGCCACTAGATGGAAACCAATACAATGATTAGTTACCAAATTGTCAATACAAATTGAAAGATAATAAATTTAGGTTAAAATTATCATAACATTCATTATGAAGGCACAAATAACCATGGGTCCCCACGCTAACATGAACTATAGAATGACAGCATTTATTTTTAATTGTGTCTAGCTCTTGACCTATAAACTATACCAATTTCAGACAAAGCTTTTATAGTTTTCCCTGTTAAATTTGAACATCTTAAGTCCTAACTCCTAGTAGCTCAGAGTGTGATTTTATTGGAAGATAAGACCTTCATAGAGGTAATATGGTTAGAATAGTGTCGATACGGGTAAGACAAAATTCAAAATGAATTATTTCCTTATAAAATTTATGAATTTGGACATATACAGAGGGAAGACACTATAGAAATACAAGGAAACACAACATTTACAAACAGAGTCCTTCACAGACCATAAGAAGGATCAATACTGTGATACCATGATCTCAGATTTCTTGCCTCTAGAACTCTGGCACTCAGTTTGTGGTACTAAGTTAAAAGAATTCTAGCAAACCAATAAAGGACACATTGTGTCATACTCTGAGAAAACAAAAATACAAAGTGTTTGCCTTCAGGAAGCCCATCGTCCTACTGCTCTTAATTAAGAAAGTGAAAACATTCATTAGTCAATAAAGTTTTAGTAGCTTTTCAAAGTTAGTCACCAATAAAAGAGCCTCCAATACTAAATTCCATTTCATTTTTATTGCCACTGTCTCATGATGATCCTCCTTCAGCAGTCTCTAGAGTGCTGGGATTACAGGTGTGCACCAGCACACCTAGTACTAATAGTTATTCTTGATCTGTTAGTGTTGCATAAAACATCCTATATTGCATAAAACATCCTATCCTTGATCTGTTAGTGTTGCATAAAACAATAATCCCATAATGGAAATACTATTTTTCTTTTGTTTTTTTTTTTTTGGTACTGGGGATCGAACTCACCATCTTGCACTTGCCAGGCAGGTGCTTACTCCACTGAGCTAAATCCCTGGCCCTGGAAATAGTATTTAAAGATTACAAATTTATAAATAATCTACTCATAGGACCTTATATTTTATACAACTTCATTTTATATTGCACATTGGGTTTACAAGCAAGCATAGCCTCAATGACAAGTAAAATTCATTTTTCAAATTTCTGTCATTTTATTATCTAAGTTCTCAACTACCGAATTAACATTTTTATTGATATAGTTACCCATTTGTTTTATGTTTTAAAAAACAGCACTCAATTGCTAGGAACAATAATTGTTGAATTAATTCTTTTATTCTTTAGGATTAACGCTCTGCACTTCTCATCCTTTTCCCTTTCCTCTCTTCAGGGTCCCTGATTATTCAACCAAGATACTGGTATTCCTCTATTACATTACAAGTAAGTAAGTTTTACACCTTTAAATATCATTAAAGAATATTTCTGGTCACTCTATAAATAGTATTCTAGTGTCATTATTTGTTAGGTCCCAGATAGAACATCTCTTATTAATTCTACAATTAAATGATTCAGCAACCAGCCACACTATCTTTGCCATTTTACAGTTCCAATCAGTAGCAGATCTAGGTGTAATCAACAGCAGCAGGGGGCTTTAGGAAGCAAAACAAAACAAACACAGTAGGAATCTTTACTAGAATATAGTAATTGATACAAGGGAACATTATGAGCTATTTTAATCCAAGTCAGCCTAAAATCTTAAGAGTATGATTTTATAATCAGAAATGAAATAAGGATAACTTTTAAATATCTGAAAATACAATAAATTTCAAACAGTAAGGTTAAAATGAAAAGATTCTGTTTTCAAAATGAACCTCTTAGTCTCAGATGGGTCATTACTTCTGTTTGGGTTATTTAGCACCCATTTAGCTGACAAATTAAAGGCCTTCTTAACTCCTAATGCTACCATACCTAACCATTTTCATCCTTACATACTTATAAAAATTAAAGCATCTTGGAGAATAACTGGCAATGCTCTTACTCCTAAGAAACATTTAAAATTTCACCAGCAACATCAGGATAGTCTTAAAATGTAATTTAGCAAAATGTTCCCATTACTTTCATTTTCCTATTTTTGACTCCTCAGCCTAGGATGTATTTTGGTAGTTAAGCATTATGTCTCAAAAATATGCAGGGAGCATAGTGATTTATTTACAATTGTAGTATGATGTAATGATTACAAATTTTAACTACTCACACACACACAAATCACAAATGGAAATGTTACCATAGTAACAACCTGATCACTCTGCACAGGAAGATAGCGGATATGATATGATGTAATTTTATAGCTGTTTATTGTAATGTGGGCAATGAGATCTACAAAACAACAATTCTGTTTTCTCATTCTGCTCACAGGAACAAGATGTGAGGAATACAAGTGCAAGTTTATAATCTTGTCAATTTTTTCTTTTAGTTTTTAAAAAGCTTACAACATAAAATAAAAATTAAATTGGCTAATACTTAAAATATCTAGTTATAGAACTTCATACCTAACATATTGCAACCTAAGAGTGTTAGATTTTCATACAGCACTAAAAAACAAATGTACCTAATGGCAGTTGTAACTACGTACCTCTGAAACACTTCCAAACTTTCTTCCAATAGTCTACAGTGCTTAAAAACACAGAAAGTGGGAGGGAAAACGTGGGGAGGGAAACAGAGGGGAGAGAAGAGATGGACTGAGGAGGGTGCTCATCTTTTACAAGATAACATATGCTAATAAAATTATCTGTTTTCTGTAAATCAGTATGTTCAATATGCACTTTTGAGAATGTTGAGACTTTTTGTAGCTACTACAGAAGAAATGTATCAAATAGAAACATGACAGAGAAAAAAACAGAATGTCATTAATTTGTCCTTCCATTTAACAAACTCATATCATGCTAAAGTTTGAAATATATGAACAACTTACCCTGAAAAATCATGGCATTCATTTAAACTGATATAATACACACACACACACACACACACACACATACACACACACACAGAGTAAGCTACAAAAATACACAATTGAAATAATCATTTGGGGCCAAGCATTTAGCTCAGTGGTATAAGCGCCTGCTGGCGAGTGCAAGGTCATGAGTTCGATCCCTGGTACCAAAATAAATAAACAAAAACAAAATAAAATAAAATAATCACTTTCTCAACTCATTGAAATAATTTCCTTAAGAAAATCTAACAAGACTCTCAAAATATTTTAATTATTCTATTGAAAATTATGTTAAAAAATAATAAATTTATTAACTTTGGTTCCTAAATTTAAAACATTTCTATAAGTGATATTTTTTCATTATTACCAAATGGCAACTTCTTCTACACATCTGATTTGTGCTACTATAGAAGAGGTAGGCATTCTGGTTTTATGACTGGTCATCATGTGATGGATATGATGATCAGTCATAAAACATTTAAAAGTAAAGAATTTAAAACTAGTCCTTGAGGGCCTGGAATGGTGGTTCATGCTTGTAATACCAATACTTGGGAGAATGAGGCAGGAGGATCACCAAGAGTTTGAGACCAGCTTGGGCTGCACAGTGAATCCTGGCCAGCGTAAATTGCATAGCAAGACCTAGCCTCAAAAACAAAAAAAAACAAAAACAAAAACTATTCCTTGATGAGTTTGACTTTTCCCTACAATATATACATACAAGTAAAAATAGATACATAAACAGCTGACTGATAAGAAAAACAAACTTATAGTATATTTTTATCACAAGTTATTCTTCCAAAACCACAATATAACCATTCAACAAATCCTAAACAGGTTGCAACTTTCATTCACTCAGTTTTAGATATTTTTAAAGTGAACAATTTTCTATTTTTTTACAATATTAAAAATACAAATAATTCTACTTTCCAACTTCTACTCATTTTTCCCAAGCTTCCTATGAAATAATCTTATGTGAAGGACAATGACTTCAAGGGTATCATAGAGTAGTATTTCATTTTCATGGGCAAATGACACATTATTCTTTAATCTCTCAAATCACTGAGTTTGTTCCATTCCATGTGCTTCGGAATTATCTAAAAAAAATCAGGAAAATTTTCATACTAAATATATTTGAGAGGTAAGATTTGCTACTGAAACTGGACTATTTAAAAATATGAATT